ATGGAAGCTATCTAATTTTGATCTTTGGACTACTTTTATAATATTGGGTGGTCAGGACATCTGGTGGTTCATTCAACATCTTTTAGAACGCAGTGTGAGACCCGACCTGACTCAGTCTTCTTGTGGGATGTGCCAAGCACACCCACAAGAAGACTGAGTCACCTCCACTGTGGGTAAAGCATCGTTGAGTGAAACCCTTCAGGAGGGAGGGCGGGGGGAGCGGGGGGGGGTAGTATTTTTTTTTCTCTAGAAGAGCGAGATCCTACAAGAATCTTAGGAGGACTTTCTTTGATTGCTGATTTTTTTTCCGTTCCATGATCGCTACATATTCCCGATAGACGGCAAATTTTGGGGGAACTTGTCGATCACTTGGGAAGAGACGGTGAGATGAAGATAGGAAGGGGGGCGCACTAAAAGAGGTAGGCCTGCAGGCTGTGTCACCATTTCAGTCATCACTGGTCCCGCGCTCCCAGATTCAACTCTCATTCAGAGTCCCAGTAACAGCCAAACCTATTTTGTCCCAAATCATGCCGTGCGCTGGACTCAAGGCAAGCGTTTAACCTCCCGGACCAGCACAGGATAGCCAACCCATGTGCGTGAAGTGGTAGAACGTGGAAATGGTGTGATTGATCACCCCGACTATTGATCTACACTTGATCGCCTGGCCCTTGTTCAATAGCTGCGCTCTTTTCGGCTACACACCCCGTTTCCTCACTTCAATTTTCTTGTTTCAGGCGAACAAATGGAACGGATCCTCAATAGCGGCTGTTTTCCATACACCTATTCGACCATTTTATGTGAAAGTGGTACATCGTAGTAAGCAACCCAGGTATTTTACTCATACTTTTATTTTATTTTCAGAATTACCACTATTAGGGGGAGCAGGTGTGGCATAGGTCCGTTACCTATTGAGCTTTGAGAGATGACAAGTAACTTAACAAGTTACGAGTAACCCCATGTTGGATCATTGTTAATGACGTCCCGATGACGTCATTAACGTGTTATGTGACGTCAGTGACTTGTCATCTTTCCCATAACAAGTCACGAACTTGTTAGCGTTTCTAAACTACATTAGCTACATTAGCATCTGTCCGAGCAAGTAAGGTTTTGTAAGTCTGGATGTCCACTCTAATCACACCGGCACCCCCCCCCCCCCCTTGCTTGAGAACTCCCAATAACAAATCGGCTTGGCTTTGGCGCATTCTACGCTGACCATGTGGGCGGAGTCAGGCTCACCATTCCTTCCTTCAACCGTCAATGACCTGCTCTTTTCTCTGGTGTGGCGAAGGAAACACGAGTGAGGAAAACACAACAGATAGCCTGACTCCGTCCAAAACAGCAGCGTATACTTCGTTTTCAAAGATTTCTTCGTTGAACTAATCGCTTGGATTTAGCTGGTCGATAACTTTTGAGTGATTTAAATTTTACTTGTTTATTTACGTATTTTAAGTTGTTCAATTGGGAATAATCTTATCAATAGAGCTTTCTTTTTTCCAGAACTGTACGGAATCCATGCGCCAAAAGCTCCTGCTCACACCTTTGTCTCATGGATGGCCATGGCCAGTTCGAATGCAAATGCCCACAATTTATGCAATTGCTGTATGGAAGTACGAGCACATGTGCAGGTAAATAGTCCTACTTTAAGGCAGCGTACAGACTTGGCAGCTCGTAGAACCCGCGGCTACGATCACATGTTTCGGTATTGAAATTCAGCGCGCGAGTAGGCGCACGATTCAGGCGACTTTGCAACTACCGGTAGAACGCTTCTGTCACCACTCTTGCTTGGTCATCGCAGGACCTGCTCTTTTCGAGACCTGAATAGTTCTAAGGGTTGGGTCGAGTTGGAACTGTGAAGAGGGGAAACAAACAAAGCAAACGCGTTGTTTATCTGATTTGAAATGCGGAGCAGAGTTATGGCAAAAACGCCCCATTGTTGACCACTGAATTCAGAACTACTCGAGTGGCACGATCCATGTTTCTGAAGAAGTCGCGAACTATAAACGCCCCTAGTAGCTGAACGACATTTTTTTGAGGGAATTGGGTAAGATGGTGGGTAATGCGTAAAAGGGGACGGACTGAAACTTTCCCGTCACGGAAAACGTAGTGGCTACACTATTTCGCCCATCCTGAGTACCCCCTAGTTCTGTCTCTGATCTTCATGTATTCTTAGGCGATAAGCGAGCAGCTTCAGGTAAATATCCGAGCATAATGCAGGGCGTCCCCGGGACGGCTGCCGTATCTTCATTTCAGCTCTTAACCTCGTGTGCGTACGTTTCTGCCTTTTTCCGTCTGAACCCTTGCAGCAATCGCAACTACGCCCCACACCCCCTTCCGATTTGCAGTGTGTGGTTACTGTAACACATTTTCCAAGAATTCCAAGAATCCTTTGTGTTTTCAGAGGTGAAGTCGGCTGTGTTGCTGTCAACGAAGAATTCCGTTATTGGTGTGAATGTCGCTTCACCGAAAGACACCGTATTCACCGCGTCCGGTTTTCAAGGTATGTTTTCTGGAATTCTTCCTCGGCAGCATGAAAGACCAAATCGCGGAAGGCGCAGTCCGCGATGATTGAATGGGCGGAGCCTCGCAACGACTATGTTTTCCTCAGAGGCGCGTCCTTGTTCCAGGACTCTGAATAGAGGAAACGCCAGTGAGGAAAGCTATGAATGTCTCCCCTTTTCTTCGCCTATCCGATTATCATGGAATATGCCTTATTGAGCTTCGCCAAATACTTCTCATAATTTTTGGCTACTTGTTTACCAACTTACTACTGTTGGAGCTTTCCAGCTTTGAATTAATTTATGGAATGGCTTCTTAAGAGCTTTTCATTCGACCCCTCTCAGGCAACATTAGGGTTTACTATTTGCCATTTTTTAAGTGAGTTCTTCGTCTATGGGGACCCTCAAAATGCTCTAGGTGCACTTCGACTTGGTGGGGGCACCAAATATAATAGTATCGGCGATCTTCTTACAAAGCATCTTGTGAAGACCTGTGAGACCTTGTGACCGAAAAGGCTCACTTTCCCAACTTCGTTTTCACAACAGTTTACAGATCTGACCAACGTAGGACCTGAGTTAACATGAAGCGACGAAAGGAACTGGCGAAAGTGCAAAATGTCCCCTCCATGCCGAACAGCGCCCGCTTTTGACTGTTAGCAGT